TCGATGAAAGAAGTTCTTTTTACTTTTTATTCTCATTTGATGTTACGCTATATAGCTTTTCCTTTTAGTTTCACACGGAAGTTTGTTTTGGACTCTGTATTATTAGCTCTTTTTGTAGAAAAGCTTTTTTTATACAGCATTAGAAAATATTGTTTATCACATAATATGCACAAAATTTATTACAGAAAATAAATTTTTGTTACAGGTACTTTCTCACTATTGTGAAATCTTTAGATCAATTTAAAAACCTTTCTGCTTGAAAACAACAAAATTAGTAGTTCTTGGGTAATGTACTGGAGTAAATGAGTTATGTCGACGTGAAAACCTTCACTCAGATGACCTGTGAACATTTTTCAAACACCAGACATCAACGACATATTAGCATCCATATATAAACGAATGAAAAAATAATAAACAAAAGGAAGCATAACATTCAGAATTACAGTTGGAATTTAAGGCATTTCGAGAATTAACAGACGTTGGTACTCAAAACTTTCGAAAATCAATTCTATAGTCTTGATTCAAGTCCTTAGTTGCTAAAACTAGCCTGCTGTTCGCCAAGATCCTTATCGACAATAAAAATAATTGATTATAGCACGTATTTTGTATTTGTATTCTTCATATATACAGCGCATCCGCACGTATTTTGTATGTTGTATTCTTCATATATACAGCGCATCCGCAACGTATTTTGTATGTAGTATTCTTTATATATACAATGCATCCACAACGTTTTAGGACTAATTCCTACAAAATCCGAAGTGAGAGCTAACAACATTCTTACTTCATAGCTTTCAATAACAATCCTTCTAAAGATATACAACTCTTGGCACGTTCATATGGCTGTTTGATTCTTTAGTAGAACCCATCTTCTAAAGTACAGTTTAACTCTCTGATTACGGATTTCTAAATCACTTAAATTCTATTAGAAATAATGACTTTAGGGTAAGACTTCACTTTACGAAAAAATAGCAGGCTGTAGGTGCCAAATCTGTAGAATGGAGCGGGAGATTGAAAATTATTACACTCTTCTTGGCAGCATACTACTTGACGGTGCACTGTCGAGCAGCAGAAACCAGTTATTTAATTGAATTTCTTCAGGCCAACGTCTCTCTAGATGCCCATTATGTCTTTATAAAACACAGAGTTGTTTGTTTGTTCTTCAGGAACAAGTGCGTCATGAATTATCCCTTTCAAATCAAAAAATGTAAGCAACATAATCTTTACCTGAAATTTCTGAAACCGAAGTTTTTGTGGCCATACTGAAACTTGTACAGCTTAAGCAAATGATCGCCGTTTTGTCTTAGGATCATAAATAGAGTACCAAATTTATCTCCAGAAAGATGTTGCTGTTTTTTTTTTTTTTTTTTTTTTTTTTTTTCATTTCGTACCAAAACTTCCTGTTACTTACCTAGCTCTCGGATCAGTGATAGAAAATGTTAACTGGAATAAAGAAAACCATGAATTGCATAAAAAATTCGACATTTTCCCTTTAAAGCCATAACACCTGGCGCTTTCGCCCATTTTCTCGATGCGAAATGTCTTGAGTTTGGTTTGGCATCTTTGCTAGATGGATACTTCTTTACATTTCCATAGATTTCACGACTTGGAATTTGCCAAAAGACGAAGAAGTGGGTATCTTGTTCCTTCAAGAAAGAGAAGTTCGTTACAAAGAAACCTCGTTTTCGATTAAACACTTCCTGAAAATACAATGTGATTCGAAAAGGAAATGGCTCTGCAGCCTTCGCTCATGCCGGGATGAAAAGGCGTGCGATCCAGAAATGCGATTTTTTAAATCACTCAATTTCCTTCGTTATTGTCGTAGGGCTCATTTACTTATATTGTGTCAGGAATTAATATGATTGGGCAAAGCAAAAGCTTGCTTTCAAAATCGAAACACAACGGTTGACTGGAATAACTGCGTAAAAGAAGAAAATACCAATTCCTTATTATCTCGGAATAATGTTAACATGTGAAGGCTCAGTGTGCAGTGAGTGGCTAGCGCGTCCCGCAGCAGCACCACAGATCCGAGGCTCGATCCCCGGCCAAGGTAAGTTGACCCAGCCTTTCATCCCTTGAGAGGGTCGATAAAATGAGTATCAAGTTCGCTTGGGGGACCAAACACCGGGGGTCCTGCGACAAGCTGACCACTTTTCCAGGCAATATGCATAAGCACCTCCCGGGGCACACGGCATAGAAAGCAGATCTCAGGACACTGCCGGCCATGGCTCTCTAAGGACTGTTTGAGCCGACAGGTTTGTTTATTTTATATGTTAAAATCAATCGATGCAACAAAATTGTGGAAATCAATAAAAATGTATTCACAAAGAAATAACATAGACTGTGCCCTCTTTTCCCGCAGGCAATGGGGTCCTGGAGGATTTCTTTGTAAAATTAAGAAAATATGCCTTGTTGTTATTTCCGATCGCTCCGCTTCGTTTGGTATCGAGCTAAAGGTGTGGGTAAACAAGGGACGTAAATACGGTTTAACGGAAACGTATCCAATGTTCTTTCCATAAATAAACGATATTTTTAAGATAAAGCAATTTAAGGCGTCATAGGATTAAATGGCTTTCAGTTATCATTAGGAAGGTTTGCTGGAATTTTTAAAAACAAAATTAAGCCTAAAACTTTATAGACGTTACTACAAGGAAGGCAAAGTACATTCAGGGTTGGGTTTGGATTTATTTAATTATGACAAAGTACGCTTGGATTATCTGCCTAAGGAAAGCGATGCCTTTGTGGATGACTTTCTATGGAGAACTCTCTCGTTATCCAAGCTACACGAGGAGAAAACCATAAAAACGCCCATGTCTGTTCACGCGGAATCGAAAATTGGTTGAACTACTAGTATTCAACAGTTTCACCATTCGGCCATTGATAGTTGTATGTACACTTCATTGATATCTAAGTTTACTTCATCTATTTTCAAGACAAGTTTTTGCATGTTAGCACGCAAGCCGTTTGTTGCCAGGTTTCAGAGTGGAGCAAATTCCTAAAAATTTTATAAGATAATTATCGAAAAATGGCTGTAATTAGATGGAACAAAATCATATATGCGTTGTTTAGGATTTAAGTGTGTATGAAAATTGGCGAGAGAAGTCAAACACGTTGAAGGATTTCTCAGCAAGGTTTCTAGATATTGGAAAAAAAGTATTAAAAAAAATAATGACTAGAAAGAAATTACTATGTAATCTTGGCCCTGACCCTGTTTTAAGCTAAGTAGTTATAATAAGCCCAGTAGTTTTAAGACTAAGTTCCCTAAAAAATTTAAAAAATATGAAATATAAAATCTTATATTTAAACCCAGCTGCCCTAAATGGCAAAGCCAAATTGTAGAAAAAATAGTATGGCATTATCCCAATGTAAATTAAAGTTATGTGCAGATTTAATCAGCCAATACATAAACTTTGCATTTAAATCATTCAATCACTTGCGCACGACATTGGCAACAAATATATTTTTCTAATGTCAATACATTTCATTTTCCTAAGACACGAAATCCGCGAAATATAAATAATGAATTCCTGAAACAAGAGTATCTAAAACCTCATTAATGAAAGAATGAAATTCCAACACCTCCTTACAATGAAACACGTGTATGTGCCCCAGTGCAGCATGTTATATGCACGCTTAAGTTACATATGCCCAGCAGCATTTTACTAAAATCAAACGGAGGTTTACTTTCATTAAGAACAAACACCCTGTATTTATCAAGCTGAAAGGAAAAAAAAGTAGAAATGGCATCTAGATACAAGTACATAGTACCTTCAAGCGAAAATTAAAAAAAAAAATACATTTAACTACGTTAACTTTAACATGGACTAAAATCATTCATGAGTTCACTGTTTGATGACCAAAATGAAGTTTTACAATAACGGGAAGCGAATGTAAATAAGACTTTTGACTAATCCTTCACGGAAGCAAACGAACGGCAGAAGGACCATCGGCAAACACATCAGTTGATATAAACTGAAGCAGTTTTTGAGGTCAGGTGGAAGTGTTTTAAGGCATAACTTTGAAAACTTAATTGGAACGGCGCGATACTTGGCCTAGTTGCTTGAGAAAACTGACAGCTGTAAAATCTAATTTCGTAAAACCAAATCTAAGCTAAATACTAAGTACGATAAAATCACTCCGAAGTCTAGTCCGAGATTTGGCTTTGACGAAAAATTAATTAAATATTTTTTCCTTCAATTTGTGTTTTAAATGCATTAACGGGGATTTAGACATAGCATCTGCAAGCTTTTTAAATGATTGAGTGGCAACAAAAATAATCGTAGAACTTTGCAACAGTCTAACAAATGAAAGTAGATTCTGTCATTAATAAAAAAATGAAAAACTGTTATTGCTGTCTGATAAAACAATCTTACATATTAAATAAAATTTTAAAATAAATAAATTCTGAAAGTTCTCAGATTGTATATTACTCCAAAAGGCTCCTTTTTAACGTTTTATGTGTTACTGTTATTTATTAAATACAATATTCATCGCACTTAAGCCATAAAATTCAATTCAACAGCAATATCAAAAATAATTTAAAAAGAGCATATCTTTAGAATTTCCGATACACATTCTCGCGTGCTGGACCACAGAATTTTTTTTCTCCGTACAATGTTGCTCTCTTTGAAATCGTTGAATTTGTTAGTCAAACATTCGTTAAAGTTTTACAAAATATGAAACAGATAATAAAACAAATTCCAAATTCTAAATTTGGGCATTCGCTTATCTTTGGGGTAAAGAAACTTTCGTTTTGAAGAAACTCGGTATCTTCGTTATATCAGAGAAATTAAATTTGAAAGAAAAAATAAGTTATTCCAGGATGTAATATTCTTCCAAGATTTAAAATTCTTCAGACTGTTAGTTAATATGTGTTTCGGAATTTATATTAATAAAGTAATGCATTCAGAATTGTATCAGTTTCACATTACTTCACTTTAAAATAAGCTGAATATCATGCATTAGTTTCGCAGAATTTAATTAAAATAAACTGTACTCACGTGATCCACGGACATATAACCGTCTCCGTTTTCCTGTCCATTTCCAGTCATACTCATCGCCAAGTCGAAGTTGTCTACAGACTAAAACAAAAGAAGGAAAAAAATGAACATGAATATTTTGACATAATAATATTCTCAATTCAAAAATCATAATTAATCTCATTTCTCTTTTTCCCCAGTTTAAGAATAAATGTTATTATTAGTACGATATGTTCAAATATAAGAGAAAAACACACTGAAAATTATAGTTTGAAAATAATATAATATGTTGCATTATTTATAATTCCTTACTTTAATTTTTTATAAAAGCTTAATTATTGATATCTTGACCTTCATATGTTACATGCCTATTGTACAAAGATGCAAAATGATCACAATCATTCATATCTTTCATTTTAAAATTAATCAATGACACGACTAAATTGTCATTTTTGTGGCAAAAATAAATTGATAAGCGAATGAAAAATCATACAAGCGAATATTAATGGTAAAAATAATTTTGTTCAGTTTTATAACGTAAATGGTTAAAAATATTTACAATTTGTATAAAAATGCAGTTAATTGCTGAAAATTTATAGATTGTTTTAATTCTAATTTACAAAAATCATATTATTCTTTAAGTATGCCACGGTAATAAATAAAACTGATAAAATAAACAAAGAAAGATTTGAATTACAAAGGATTAAGGAAAAAAAAAGAACGTGTTTAACATGAAATTCTTAATGGAAAAAAGATTAATGAATTTAACAACTTTATTAAATCAACGCTTCCAACTTAATTTTTTCCAATTTTGATTGATTTTATCAAAACACTCTTTGTAAAATACAGATTTGTATTTTTTATGATGTTCTTCCAAAATCTCAACTGATTTAGTGACAGTAAATATTAGATAAAGGTCATAATAATCAAGAAGGAAAATCCACATTAGCTAAAAATAATCATATATTTTCAGAATGATTTATTATGCATAATTTTATGCAAATGTTTTGTTGATACTTCAAGCTTAACTTAAGGTATCGGTTTGTTCATCATTCTATCTGTTTCTGGCTACGATTTGTAATAATCCTTAGCATAAAGAACAACAGATCAGATCTCAAATCTAAGCTATTATAGGAAACAAAGGCTTGTATTTATGCAAGACGTATTATTCAAATAAACACAGTAAAATAAAACCTACACAATCATTATAAAATTTATTTTCGCTCATAAAATATCCATAAAATTTATCTTTCGGAGCTCGGAAAGAAATTATTCTAAAACAGAATGGCTCATAACCACACCAAATACATATTTCATTCCCAGTAATTTGAAAAAAGATTATAAAGGCCTTTTACAATGGGAAAATAGCTGATTTCTTTTGTGTGCTTATTACGAGCCGAACTATCGTTTGGACGATCGCTTGGGAGAAAATGCAAAAAAAATACAATATAATAAATAAATAAACAAATAAAAAGACAGAAAACTATCATTAGTTGCATTATGAAGCGGAAAATTCTCAACGTGTACAACAGCGCTGTAGCAATAAGCGCTGAAAGAATCTAGTACAAAGGAAAACGTAATGGCGAAAACGCCATTTTGTGTTTCTTTGTATTTTGGTTAAAAAATGTAAGCGAACAACAAACGATTTAGTTCGCCATTTCATATTATCTGCCAATCAAAATATAACTCCAAAATTCAAACCACGCCTGCAAGAGCCTATACAGTGAATGATAAGGCGGGGCTAAACATGAATAGTTTCAAAATCTGGAGACGAGATTAGAATAAAAAACATACCAACGTGTTGGCTAGTGTGAAATTTTGCTCAGCAACAAACAGCAAGGAAGTTAGACCTTACACGTTTCAAAAGTTTCATTTTGGACTTGAATTCAACTCTCGCTACGGTTCAAAGGATATACAGGATGTTATTAACATGAAAAAAGTACTTTTGCGTTTCCTGGATACCATAGTGATAGTCATGATAAATTTATAATCTGCAGCAGTTTACTCACATAAAAAAATACCAAGTCCAGAATTATTGTTGACCAAAAAAATAATAAATAATAATAATAACAATAATTTAAAAATAATAAATCTTTTACAACTTAAAAGATAGAAGGTTGAAACATCATTTGTTATATCAGTTTTCACTTTGTTGTGTAAACATAGTGAAACTTCTCATGGTTGCCACCTTGGCTAGACGACTGCATTAAAAAGGGTTTATCAGTTTTTAGAATACAGAACATAACTAAGGTAAATTGCCTTTCTGAAACAAATACCTCCACAAATTACTTAAATTATTTAAAATGGTGAGTGGTCTTCTTAGGGAGGTTTTATTTGCCTTTTAAATGTCTGCTATTTACTTTATATTAACTGCCTTAATCATATTATGTGAGATTAAGGGAAAGAAAGATCAAAAAGAAATTCAATGAAAGTAAAATTTGCTAAACTGCTAGATCAAATGCAATGTTCAAAGACATGCGTCCTGAAAAACCAAAATGTGCAATTTCTGACAAACATTATATGGAAACACCTGCTTAATCATGTGATGGAGGTATTCAGTCATGTGATCTTAATACCTAGATGGAATCTTTGCATGTTTCTTAACTTAAATGGTCTTGAAAAGGTCTTCTCAAGGAAAGAAGACAATGAGATAACTTAGAATCTGCATGACAATGCTTCTACGAAAAGAATTTTATTATCCTATGATTAATGCTCTTTCCAAGATATTTCGAAGCTAAAGCTCCTGAATTGAAGTTTATTTTAAATGTATATTAAAGAACATTATTGCATATTCAGTTGACCAATTTCAGGTACATAACAATTGTCTCAGTAAAACATTTATGTTTCTTAGAAGGACAATCTAAAGATCGAAAGTTAATTCATTTGTAATTACAGGATTTCATTTAAATCAAAAGATCTTGAAAGAATCAGATTTCAAGACCCATCCCGTCATAGACTTAAGGCAAAGAAAAAAATTAAATTAAATTAAAAAAAAAAATATCAAAAAAAAATTAAATGTGGAAACTAAAGGGAATGTTGAGTCTTTTACTTTGTTGCCCACGTTACATACAATGTCCAAATATATGCTACATTAACGAGTCTTTTCATGTGAGGTAATGTCAGTCAACCATCTTAACGTTAATAAAAAATCTTAATCAAAATGAAAGAGTTCCGGTGCAATAATTGAGACTAACGTATCTTTTAAAATCACATTTTTGCAGTTAAAGGGAAAAAGAATGATCTCTGTTGGTTACCACTCGCTTCAGAAAAAGACAAACAAGAAATTACTACGCATTTTGAAAGAGCTTCCTTTTGTGTGAGGACGGAAAGACCGATTTTGATTCAATATTTGCCATTGGAAGAGATTATGTCTCAATACTTAAACAAAGAACTTCCAAAATAGCGTCAGAATAAATGCAATACTCTTCTCTGAATATATGAAATATCCTATTATTTTTACCATTCTGTAACCACGTATTAATATATCGTTTAGTCTCCACTATGTTGAGAAAAGCAACTTTATTATTTAGACCAGTGTTCTCAACCCCCTGTTCGCGGACCGGCACCGGTTCGCAAGAAATATTTGCCGGTCCGCGAAATATCCAGCTATCTGTCCAAAATCCAAAGTGCCATCGGCCGACACCCCGATATGAAAACAGTACAATAACGATAGTTTACTAGTTTAGTATTTATTTATGTGAAAAAATTGTGCCAATGGGTCGAATTATAAAACTTACTGGTCCACGAGAACGTTAACGAAATATTTTACCCGTCCTTGGAGTAAATACAGTTGAGAAACATTGATTTAGACCATATAATTCTTTCTTCAAGGTCGCTAAGTCTTATGGAGGAATCACTGAAGCACTAATAGCTAGCACAATCTAGTGTAAGTAGACATTGCAAATGACTGATGATGACATGTTCAAAAGTGTTTGATGGAAGTCGATTATCGCTTTCACAGATGGAAAAAAAGCACACATAGTGTATACGCAAAGCAATTTTCATAAGCCTAAACGGCGGGAATAGGTGTTGGGGCTGGTTGGTGTATTTAATTATGGCAAAGCACACGAGGGCTATCTGCCTAAAGGGAGGGATGCCTTTCGTGGAGGACTTTCTAAGGGAAACTGGCTCGTATACACGTTACACATGGGAAAACCACGAAAACGCCCATGCAGCCAGCCCGTTCGCGGGATTCGAACCTCAGACCGAACTACCAGTGTTCAGCGTCTTTACCGCTCGGCCGCTGGTGGGCTCGGCGGGAATAGGAATTTAAGTGGTTACTTTATTGATGTTATGTTTCTTTTCATATCATTTGCCACAGTGTGATTAATGTGAAGATGTGCTCTATTCTACTGGAAAATTATGCTGATTTCGTCTCAAAGAAACAGAGGAAGTTATCAAAGAACCATAGAAATGATTCTTTTACGGCTTTCAGGGACGATATTAATATAAGATTTTAAAAAGAACGTGCAGAGGTCCCCCATTACAATTTACAATTTAAAATCCTTGTTATTCGAAGCGCAGCCCGTTATTTTGACTTATTTTATTATGCATTCTGTGCTTTATGATAAACCTTTTTTCATTTCACTGAATTTTTTATGTATAATGTAGCGGTTTTAAAATATCTGTGGCCTACTGGAGAGTCATCTAATATTTCAAGGGGGAAGCCACAATGAAATGTTACATGAAAATATATTTTAATGGGCTATAACGAATAGTATTTTAAGAATAAAGAGGTTCTTAAAAAACAAAATCAGAGAATAATCATTTTTAGGATTAAATTAAAGACAATCTGAAGGAACAGCATTTTTCCTTGGTCCCCAGTGCTCACTACTTTGTTTTCATGTGGGGTAAAAAAAAACAGGTTTTTGAGAAATTAAATGATAATTTTGGAGGTCCTTAAAATCTCAGTTCTTAGGTCTGAGGTTTGCAGGACCAGTCATATTGTTTTTATTATAGTCTTTCAACAGACGCTTATAAATTTTAGAACATAAAAAATATTTTTAAAAATCAAATAAAAACTGAAAGCTTTCAAAAAATAAATAAATAAAATAAAATAAAGGGGGGTGAAAGAAAAGGAAAACAAAGTTGAGGATTACTGG